TGTATGTGTATCAACGTGCTGATTTTTGTAAGTACGGGCAACCACATACGACATTATCAGAAAATAAGAGCGTTAACTATAGTAAAGCCAGGAAGTATAAAAAAATTCAATTAAACATTAGATTACGGAGAATATTTTCCTAATGTTAAATTTTAAAGATTACTGAGTACTTAAAAATTATATGTAAAAGACGCTCACGTTATATTCAATTATTTTTACTGCTAAAGCCGCCATAGAATAATATTAGACAAACATCAATCTGTTATCAAGCTGTCAAACATGTCAGCAGCTTAAATAAACAGCTACCGCTGTGTTAAAAATGCATTTCTAAAAAAAAAACGAATGTATTCTTGCTATATTTTAGACTTAAAGTAAATATTTATTTCAAATAAGATTAATTAAACTTTAAATCAGCTAATATTCCTCCAAAATTTTCAAAAAAGTATATTTTATTTTTGGGAGATTTTTTTAATAAAAAAGAATTATATTCTGATGAAAGATGGCGCTAAAATCAGCAATTTCAGCAATCTCAAAACGACCATTCTTTCCAATCAGTTTAAATTAGTTTTTGAAATACAGCAAAGTATTTTGCTTATTGGAAATATTAACAGATTGCAACATCTATCAGAGAGACGAAATTTAAATTTTTATAATGGCATTATTCCAAAATTTTAACACATCAGCAGATAGCTATTAATGTCAACAACTGAGCACAAATAGTTATTAATTAAAAAAAAAATAGTAACTAATGTATAAGTTTAAATTTATTAATTAATAAAATCAGAAGAGTCAGAATCGCTTTTGTATCCGAATTTTCGTAAGAATCTTTGTGTAGTTTTCAAGTTTGATTTAAAATCATTTCCATCATTTTCATCAAAATTAAGATAACCACGACTTGGAAGAAAAAAACGTAACGTCCTTCTAGACAGTCCTTTTTTTTTTATAATCTTCTATCTCTAACAAAAAAGTGTATTTCAAATATTGTATCATGTGATATTTCTTTTATATAAGGTCTTTTCCATGGGATGCTAACAGATATTAAAAGTTAAAAAATATCCATAAATACGTAAAAAATACATATATAGCTATTTGTGCTATGTTATAATGCTTATTACCTAAACAATCATAATACTGAATAATTTTTTTTAAATATTAAACTATATTTAATCACATCTCCCTAATAGCTGCTGCAATCTGTAAATTTAATCTATTAGCTTGGAATGAAAACTAAAATAAAGGCTTCAAGAAAGATTTTTCATTAAAAAAATCATTTTAAACCTCAGGTATAGCGTTTCTTTGACAGTACCTAGTTTAAAGTGATAAAATCAATCGGATATATAAATAAAATATCTATTACTTCTTTAGAAAATTGCTTTGTTTATGTTTAGATACGAAACTGGGCAGATGTGAAAGGCATTATTCGACCTTGTTTGAACAGCTGAGCCGGTTAAAGCACGTCGGATCTAACGACGGTTCCCTCTGTCCAGTGGGGATGCAGGCTTGAATCCTGTCGGAGAACACATATTTTTTTTTAATGTCTCGAATATTCGGAGACGAAAATAAATAATATATAATGTTTAATAAATAAACGGGTCGTCTACTCAAATATGAGTATCCCCTAAATTAACGATGAAAGTGATAAAACGGTGTTTAGTAAAATATTGCCTATTAAAATAGACGTGAATTTTTGTAATTGTTCATTTATATATTATAATTTTTCAAATAGAATTTGGGACTTTTTCTTTCTAGTAAAAACATTTTAAAATTTGAATTACTTCTTTTTTATTGTTATTTACCTAAATATATGGTTCGCTATTATACTTCTCAAAAATTAAGAAGAGACTTGAAGCAACGGAGGTATGGTTCTACAGAAGGATGCTAAGGATATCATGGACCGAGCGTGTGAGCAACAATGAGGTTTTAGAGAGGATGCAAACAAGGAGGAAGCTTATAATTAACATCAGGAAGATGCAGCTGGAATTTCTAGGACACGTAACGAGAAAGGAAGGTTTGGAAAATCTGATACTCACAGGGCAGATAGAGGGAAAGAGAGACAAGGGAAAGCAATGCGTGACATACCCAGCGGGGTTTTAGCAAGTGGATGACGGAACAATGTTTGGGAGAAGTAGCAAAAGGACAAAACATATTGAGATCTACAAGGGATATGGTAAAGTGGAGAGCCATGATCGCCTACGTCCTGAAAGGACACGGTACATAAAAGAAGAACCGGCAGTGAATGTTGGACGGTCTCCTCAAAGATGAAGAAGAGACTCGAGGCTTACACTTAACATCAGGAAGAGGCAACTATGATTTTGTTATGGGTCCTCCCCTTTTCATAGAAGTGGACTCTACCAGTATTACTTGGAGTGCTGCCGTTAAATACCCAGAGTTAAACAGTCAGTGAGAGAGGATATACGGAGAGAGAGAGAGAGAGAGAGAGAGAGAGAGAGAGAGAGAGAGAGAGAGAGAGAGAGAATATACGAACGGAGATAGTGTGAGGTAACCTCTTGTAGAAGTTAATTACAAGCACGTAGACTCTAAGGAAGTCCTACTTCGAGACTGTATATATCTATGGAATTAACACACTAATTCCATCTATATTTTACGCGCGCGCGAGTTTTCCTCCTTTCCTTTCACACTCGTGCGTGTGTGCGCGCGTTTGCATCCCTTCCTCTCTCTCACAGCTAGACGTAGCAGTAATCTGGAGGAGGAAGGTCGCTAGCTCCTGCTGATGAAGTCAGCCGAACAGATTTTGAATCTTTTCCCGCGCGTTTCCTGGCGTCTCAAACGAACAGCGTTTGCAAGCCAGTTGCTTCCCGTTCTTCAACCTGACTAGACGGGCAACTCATTTATTCCGTGCCCTTAACCCATATGCGGGCCGGAATATCTTATTTCAACAATGTCGACCTCACACTTTACCAAGACTTCGCGTCTTGAAGCTACCCGCAGGTCAGACCTTCTCCGTTTTCTGCTAGAAAACGTGCGAGACACACGACACAGTCGTGGGCAGAATTTCGTATTCAACAAGTAACTTATTTTTATCCCTCGTCAGTCAACCATAATACAGACAGGGATATCTTATGACCTCCGTTTTCTGCTAGAAAACGTGCGAGACACACGACACAGTCGTAGGCAGAAATTCGTATTCAACAAGTGACTTATTTTATCCCTCGTCAATCAACCTTAAATACAGACAGGGATATCTTACTGACGAACAAATATTCTTCGTCTCTCTTGACTCGCCATAAGTAACTTCACCGAGACGATGCAACCAACTGCAAATAACTCTTCGTCCTTTTGGCTAGACGTACACAGCAATCCGATAAAATTTCCAGCAGTTAATTCAAGGCCTGACCAAAATCTGAGACGATTGAACTTTCTCACTACTTTGAACCTGAACATAAAAAAAAAGATAAAAACACAAAAATCACACACACTTACAACGCCAAAAATCCACAGTGAGTGCTCCTTTCTATCTGTGCGCACCTACACCTCGTGTTAACGAGTTTCCTTTTTCCAGAACCTTATAAAAACCTTTTTCCCGCCTTGTTCATCTTGCTTTGCTATTTTGGCGCGGAACATTTTCTCTGATCTCGTACCACGAGATAATCTACTTGTTTTCCATCTAATAAAAATTACACATGTTTTGCATCCAGACGCCTTTGTCATTTTATTCAGGCTATCTCTTTAATATTTATAATTTATGCACTTGTTGATTGACCCCTTTCCTCTCACTGTTCGTTCACGCATACATTTTTATTTTTTATACATTGTTTGTGGACTCGGTAGTTTAGTGTAGTGTCTGGCACAAGGCCACTTTTCTATTAAACCAGCACTGCACCCTACCGGGTTTGCAACATATCCATCTGTATTTGCTACTAACCGTGTTCCTGGACTTACTAACAGTATTACTCTTTGTATGATTGTGTAAATACATTTAATTTCTTATATTTAATTATTGCGTTTGTCATTCCTTGGAGACCGAATTCATCTCGGAATCCACAACAGATTTATAAAGCACAAGAGTTTTATATATAAATATTTGTATTTTTCATTTTTCTGTCTACTGAAATAAATGTTTTGTCATTTGAAATGTTACTCAGTCGTTTTAGTCTTATACAATATTCTATTCTTACTAACTAGGTTTTTGTGTTTGGCACAAAAATCTAGATTACGTAGGGAGTTAAAAGATTTATACTCCACCGTTTCTCCCCCTCTAGCTATGGGTTAATTAGTAGGATTATTATCGCCATGAAATTCTTACAGTCTAAAAATATTTTGTTGGCTTTAAATAAGCTGAAAAAGGTTGATAAGCCGTAAAAAACAAATCAATCAATAAAAAAACAACTCCTGCGATAAACCGGCTCTTCTTTTGTTTTATTATTGCATCATTTAGTAGTTGTTTAATAAGAGAGTAGTGAAAGAAAGAAAGAAAGAAAGAAAGAAAGGGATCCAGTTGCCATGGAAACAGGAGAGAATTGGATTTGAACTAGAATTGAAAAGTTAGACGTTAGATGCTTTTACGCTTAAAAACACCGGTTTTCGTACGATCCTCGTAGTTAAGCAACAAGTCAGATGGGGGAGTTAGATGGGGGACCGCTTGTAAACATCGGGCTTATGATTTATTTATTTATTTACTACGGCTTATCAACCTTTTTCAGCTTATTTTAAAGCCAGCATTTGTTTTTTTTAGAGATAATAAGGATTTACTGATACAAGTCCGACTAATTAACCCATAGCTATGGGGAGATAGGTTCAAACCTTTCCCAAAGGTATTTGAAGTGAATATAACGAACCCGATTGAAATTAGAACTCGGCTTTTTGATTTCCAATTTTGAGATGTTATCCATATATCCAAGTTTACAGCACTTGGTATTACCAAGCGGTCACCCATCTATATAGTGACCAGGCTCGACGTTGCTTAACTTCGGTGATCCTACGATAATCTGTGTTTTAACGTGTTAGAGCCGTACGTCTTTTATATCATCCGCACATCAAAACTTGCAACACCTGGTATTCCCAAGCGGTCACCCATCTATGTACTGACCAGGATCGACGTTGCTTAACTTTGGTGATCTTATGGGGACCGGTGTTCCATAGTTTCTTTTTAATTTGAAACCGAATGCGGAATGCAACTTTCTAAACAGAAACAATTGACCAATTCAAACTTCGAATTCCGCACAAAATAATAACCCTGTTAAAATTTGTTTTATTTTACAAAGACAAAAAAAGAGTTTGCGAATATTCACCGAGGAGAAGAAATGTTTATTTCAGAACATTTCATGAAAATCTACAACATATAATATTTTTGTGAAGCAATTATGGGATTATCTCTCTTAGTCTGAGCATGGCTGAAGCTAAACTCCAGGAGAGCTAAACTCGACGCCTTTTTGGGCTCACGTTTTCAACTAGCATCAAGTTGGGCGACTATATTGAATCAATTGCCATGTCTGCTGCTAGGAAAGTTGGTTCACTGTGTAGTGTTAGAAAATTCTATTCATCAGAATCCATCTTGTACATTTACAAATCTACCATTCATCCATGAATTGAATACTGTTGCCATATCTGGTCTGGTACTCCTGCTGTATATTTCAAGACATGTCTGTAATACAATCGATCCGATGTCATTCACTTTCTCACCGATGTGACATGGTTTCTCTCTGTCATGGCGATTGTTTTGATGAATTTTTCCCTCGTGTCCCGACTGCATGAATTTAAACTTTCTACTAGATTGGCAAATTGATCTCACCGTTTTACTGTTAAGCTAGCTACATGCATCCACTAAAATGTGAATTGTGCTTTTATTCAAATTTAGCTTGGCCATCAACTCACCCCGTAGCCGAGAGGTGAAAGCACGCCAGATATAATCTCGGGATATTTGACAAAATTTCAAGATAAGTCTGTAATACAATCGATCCGATGTCATTCACTTTCTCACCGATGTGACATGGTTTCTCTCTGTCATGGCGATTGTTTGATGAATTTTTCCCTCGTGTCCCGACTGCATGAATTTAAACTTTCTACTAGATTGGCAAATTGATCTCACCGTTTTACTGTTAAGCTAGCTACATGCATCCACTAAAATGTGAATTGTGCTTTTATTCAAATTTAGCTTGGCCATCAACTCACCCCGTAGCCGAGAGGTGAAAGCACGTCAGATATAATCTCGGGATTTTTGACAAAATTTCAAGATAAGTCTGTAATACAATCGATCCGATGTCATTCACTTTCTCACCGATGTGACATGGTTTCTCTCTGTCATGGCGATTGTTTGATGAATTTTTCCCTCGTGTCCCGACTGCATGAATTTAAACTTTCTACTAGATTGGCAAATTGATCTCACCGTTTTACTGTTAAGCTAGCTACATGCATCCACTAAAATGTGAATTGTGCTTTTATTCAAATTTAGCTTGGCCATCAACTCACCCCGTAGCCGAGAGGTGAAAGCACGTCAGATATAATCTCGGGATTTTTGACAAAATTTCAAGATAAGTCTGTAATACAATCGATCCAATGTCATTCACTTTCTCACCGATGTGACATGGTTTCTCTCTGTCATGGCGATTGTTTGATGAATTTTCCCCTCGTGTCCCGACTGCATGAATTTAAACTTTCTACTAGATTGGCAAATTGATCTCACCGTTTTACTGTTAAGCTAGCTACATGCATCCACTAAAATGTGAATTGTGCTTTTATTCAAATTTAGCTTGGCCATCAACTCACCCCGTAGCCGAGAGGTGAAAGCACGTCAGATATAATCTCGGGATTTTTGACAAAATTTCAAGATAAGTCTGTAATACAATCGATCCGATGTCATTCACTTTCTCACCGATGTGACATGGTTTCTCTCTGTCATGGCGATTGTTTGATGAATTTTTCCCTCGTGTCCCGACTGCATGAATTTAAACTTTCTACTAGATTGGCAAATTGATCTCACCGTTTTACTGTTAAGCTAGCTACATGCATCCACTAAAATGTGAATTGTGCTTTTATTCAAATTTAGCTTGGCCATCGACGCACCCCGTAGCCGAGAAGTGAAAGCACGTCAGATCTGATGTCTGTGTATCGCGAGATTCTTGACAAAATTCAAAGAACACTCTATAATGTTATTGACACTGAACTTATAGCTCGACTTCAGTGGCTTCCCTCTAATTTTCTACAAATATTTTCATGACAATTGTTTTGATGAGCTCTTTTTCCTGATGCCTCGATTAGATGAATTCAAGCGTGCTACTAGATTGACAACTAGGTCCCTTTTACTGTTGAACAAGCTAGTTGCAGCCGCCACGTCTATTCTAATAGTTTCTTTTCTTGCACTTCTTACTTGTCGAACTCTCTTTTGGTTTCTTTGTTCCCTGCCACCCACAGTCTTCAAAAATTTAAATGCAACATCAATCGCCATCTTCTGCCTTCTTGAAACATATTCTTTTATTACTCTTTCTCCTCACTAAAGTATTTTCATTTACTTTCTCTTCCAGTAACCCTTTGCATCTTAGCGGCATTACCATCTTGCTTGGGGTGAAATGATTAAAAATAATAATAATATGTGTCGCGTACAAAAACTACTACTATATTTCCTGTTAAAAAGAAAACTAATTCGACCATGATTACATCCCCGTTACAACAATTAAAAAAAATAGCCTTTCTGCATCTTCACCGGTTCTCCTCAAGGCATAATTAAACCGATGTCTAGGCTGATACCCCCTCCCGCTACATATATATTCTATCAATACGAACATTACTTTAGTCTGATGAAGTCCTTTTCGAGGAGGAAACGTGGTATATGGAGTCTGTTCCCCTTTGCGAATCAATTGCTCTAAAACTTAAAAGAAATGTGAATAAAAATAAAAAACTACAAATAAAATTATTCATTTTATATATAGATAAAAACTGCATTGAAATTTGCTAAAATCTAATTTCTATTACGATAGAGGTAAGGTAAAAAGAGTTCATGTTCTTAAAGTAAAAATTAAAGTATTAAATATATTAAATTAAATAAATTAATTTTATTAAATTAAATTTTATTAAATAAATAAAATCAAATAAATTAATTAAATTAAAGTATAAAAGCGTTATATAAATTAAATTAATTTTATTAAATTAAATTTCATTAAATAAATTTTATTAAATAAATAAATAAAATAAATTAAATTAAAGTATAAAAGCGTTATATAAATTAAATTAAATTTATGAAATTAAATTTCATTAAATAAATTTTATTAAATAAATAAAATAAAATAAAATAATTAAATTAAAGTATTAATGTATTAAATTAAATAAATTTTATTAAATTAAATTTCATTAAATAAATTTTATTAAATTTTATTAAATAAATAAAATAAAATAAATTAAATTAAATTATTAAAGTGAAAGTGAAAATGAAAATCAAGAATTCACATTCTGTCTCGGTTTAGATTTAATTTTCTTGAAATAAAATTCATTTTCCGATTACGCTTATTCATCGGCGAAACATGTTAAAAATATAAGTTTTCCAGATTGCTTCGTACATTTACTGTAGACCTTTTCAGCCAATACAGCGAGGCTATTCTAAGATAATAAGAATTTCTACTAGGATTAATTATTGGCAGCCAGAATCTTAGCACCATAAGACATGAAGATGACACAGTTTTGATAGCAGACACAGAAAGGAAACTACAAAAACTCCTCCAGAAGATAGTGAAAGAAAACAAGAAGAAAGGACTAAACATCAATTGCAAGAAGACTGAATGCGTGTTTGTTATCAAAAGGTACAGCCCAACATGCAAATTACAATTTGGAAATACCGAAATGGAACAGGTGCAACGATTTAGACTTATGGGAAGCATATTAACAGAGGACAAAAAGTGCGACATTGAAATCGGTAAGTGAATTGGGGTAGCTAAGATGCCTTCCAAAAGCTAAGTAATGTATTAAGAAACAGAAACAAATATGGTTAGAAACAAAGAAAACAGTACTGAACTTTTATGAAAATCATTCCTTCTACATGACAGTGAATACTGGACAATCTCTTCATAGATGAAGACAAGACTTGAAGTAACAGAAGTGTAGTTCTACAGAAGGATTCTGAGAATACCATGCATCGAACATGTGAGCAACGACGAAGTTCTAGAGACAATGTTCACAAAAAGACACTTATATTTAACATCATTAAGAGACAGTCGACAGTTGAAGAGCGCATACTGAGGAAAGAGGGCTTGGAAAATCCTATACTCATAGGACAAAGGAAAAGTAACACATAACCTACCCGGCAAGGTTGAGTGAACGGATGACGGAGTACAGTTTGGGAGAAATGGCAAAAAGACAAAAGTTTATTAAGAGCTACAAAAAACAGGAAATTGTGGAGTAAACCCTTGCGTCCTAGCGGCTTTTTTGCCTTGCTTAGAGTGAAAAATAGATAGATAGATAGATAGATAGATAGATAGATAGATAGATAGATATGAGTAACCAGACTTTATAAATTTAACCGCAGTATTAGATTGGCGGCAAGGACTCAACATTTCCCAGCTGAAATGGCTAGATACAACCATAAGTTCTATTTTAACAGTTTCTTATAGCACACTTCTCGCTTCTGGAACCTACTTCTTGCTTCCCAGTCAATTCTGATCTTCAAAAATTTAAATTCAATATCAATCGTTATCTCCAGTCTTCTTAATTCTTGTTCTTTTATTGTCCTCTCTCCTTAATAGTTTTTATTTTCTCGTATTCTCTCACACTCAGCACTCCCCACTTTGCGTGCTTAGTGGCTTCATTGCTTTACTTGGAATGAAATGATACCCCCACCTCCAAAAAACAATAAAAAAACAAAAACGAAACACTTCAAATGCATTGGTGTATGGATCACTTACAACAAATTTAGTATCGGAGATCAGAAAGGTGAACATAGAAAGGTGGACCGTTCCTTTCTCAAAGAGTGTCCATGTTTCCGGGTCTCTAGTGGAACGTCTATTGGGTCACAAGTGAAACTGATATAAAATTGTGTAACAGCAAAATTGTCCATTTGTTAGATTAAGCTTTGAACCGTTGATATACCTTGTTACTCCAGGCCAGAAGGTTAGAGAGTGAAGATCATCTTGAACAAATTGGAAAAATGAACCGGA